TAAATTTTGGTCAATGACATGAGACAAAGTATATGTGAACTGCTGTATGAAAAGTGAATTTACTCTGTAAATCGTCACCCAAATCCTAATTAAAAAAAAAAAAAAAATACAGAGAAAAAAAAAAAAAAGATGTATTGCTAATTATTGGTGATTGGAACACAAAAGTTGGAAACAAAAAAGAAGCATTGGTAGTTCAAAAATATGGCCTTGGTGATAGAAATGATGCCGGAGATCACATGATAGAATTTTGGAAGACCAGTGACTTATTCATTGTAAATACCTTTTCTCAACAATGTAAACAGTGGCTATACACGTGCACATTGCCAGATGGAATACACAGGAATCAGATTGGCTACATCTGTGGAAAGAGGCCATGGAGGATGTCAATGTCATCAGTCAGAACAAGGCCAAGAGCTCACTGTGGAACAGACTATTAATTGCTCATATACAAGTTCAAGTTGAAACTGAAGAAAATTAAAACAAGTCCATAAGAGCAAAAATATGACCTTGATTATATCCCACCTGACTTTAGAGACCATCTGAAGAATACATTTGATACTCTGAAGACCAAAGTTCAGACGAGTTGTGGGATGACATCAAGAACATCATCCATGAAGAAAATAAAAGGTCATTAAAAAGACAAGAAATGAGGAAAATACCAAAATGGATTTCAGAATAGATTCTAAAACTTGTACTTGAATTTAGAGTGGCTAAAGCAAATAGAAGCAATGATGAAATAAAAGAGGTGAACAGAAGATTTCAAAAAGGGGCTTGAGAAGACAGAGTAAAGTATTATAATGAAGAGTACAAAGACCTGGAGTTAGAAAACCAAAAGTGAAGAACACACTTGGCATTTCTTAACCTGAAACGACTGAAGCAAAAATTCAAGCCTCGAGTTGCAATATTGATGTGTTCTATGGGAAAAAGTATTGAATGATGCAGGAAACATCCTGGAAGAAACTTCTTGGAAAAAGTGCAGCCAGAATTCTCCTTGGAAGCAAGAATAGCCAGACTTAGTTTCACCT